CCTTCCTTCCTTCCTTCCTTCCTCTCTCCCTTCCCCTCCCTCTTTTTTCCTCTTTTCCTCCCTCCCTTCCTCCCTCCCTTCTTCCTTTCCTTTCTTCCTTCCTTCTTTCCCTTCCCCTCCCTCCCTCCCTCTCTTCCTCTCCCTCCCTCCCTTTCTTCCTCTCTTTCTTCCTTCCCTTCGTTCCTTCTTTCTGCTTTCCCTCCCTCCCTCCCTCCCTCTCTCCCTCTATTTCCATCCCTTCCTTCCTTCCTCCCTCCCTCCCTCCCTTCTTCCTTCCTTCCTTCCATCCTTCCTTCCTTCCTTCCTTCCTTCCCTTCCTCTCTCCTCTTCCCGCCCTCCTTCTGTCCCCACTAGCCAGGACTAGGGCTTGAACTCGAGGCCTGGGCCCTGTTCTTTATCTCTTTTTTTTTTTTCCAGTTTTTTGATTTTTTGCTCCAGGCTGGATTCTATTGGATCCACACTTCACTGCCCAGACGCCGCTCCTTCCCTTGTCCCCCTGTCTCATCCACGTCACTTATCCAACCCCATGGTTCTTCACGTGACCTCAGCATTCCCGCCTCCAGCCTGCTGTGTTCCCAGGGGTGGGGAGAGCCTGCCCTCTCTGTTCATCTAGACGAAACAGCATCACCACACATGGGATGCCAAGAACTTGCCTCTTACCAGGTAAGTTCTTGGGAGACCTGACTTCCTAGGCAAAGGGTGTCTGGCCATACAACTAGCTATCCCAAAGAGTCGACAAAACAGACTTGTTTCCTATCTCCTGGGGGCCTCTGATCTCAGCTCCCACGAAATGAGCCATCATGTTCCCCCCCACCCAGTAATAAAGATGAATAAGGAAGACGGCGTCATTCATGTTGTCCTTCTTAGGACTACCGGGCAAAAAACAGCCGGGATACCAGGCCGGCATGAAGTCCACCTGTTGCCAGGCGCAGGCTTTGCTGCTTTGGAAGCAACCGAACCAGGCTGACCACAGAGACCTTAGGCCTTGTCAGAAAATGAGGAAGTAGGAGATCGATGAGTAGTTTGTTCTGGCTGCCACTGACATTGGAGGCCCAGAAAGAATAAGGTTTGTCTGGCCTCGAGGCCAAAGGAGAGCTGGCGCTGGTCAGAAGTCCTCTGACTTAATCCTTTGTACCGCATCATGGGGTCACAGCTGCCCACCCCAGCATTTAACCCAAGGGTGAACCCCACAGGGTCCAGGCACAGAATTGCAGAGACACAGATCTAAGCTCAGACGCCTGGGTTGAAGTCCTCACCTCCCTGTTTGAAAACGGTATGGGCAGAAGCAGATGACGTCAACATGTAGGTGCTTAGCAGGTGAATGAGTGAAGAGATTGGCACGCTTACCCCCAAATTCCCCTTTCCAGGGATTTTTCTGAGGGTTAAATAAGATCATTGGGACAAAAAGATTTCCGTACAGACTTGGTCAGCCTCGAGTACCGTTTCATCCTGATGGATAACGCATGCAGTAAGTGTGGGGTTCATGGAAGAGAGGGAGAGTTGTGTAGAGGGCTTGGCTTTCAGATGACTGTTGTCCTTTATAGCTCTGAGACACAACATAGATCCAAAAGAACAGGGCCTCAAGGCTCCACGTGGCTTAGGTGCTTGGGATCTTTTCCGCTAAGTTTCTACCAATGGGGTGTTCCTTGGCAAACAGGAGCCCGCTCTCTTCCCTGAGCAAGGGACAAGGAGGCTTTGAGGATGTAAGATACCCCAGATAGAAGGCGTCCAGAAAAATCAGTCTTTTCTAGGGACCACCTAGGAGGAAGTCAATGGAAAAATTTGGGGGCGGATTTGTTTTTTTCAAGGTGTCTTTTTCTTTTATGTGGGTGATAGGGCTCACTGGGGGCCTGGATGCTGTCCCTGAGCTCTTTTGCTCAAAGGCTAGTAACTCTACCACTATGAGCCACAGGGGGCTACTTCGGGTTTTCTGAGTGATTTATTGGAGGTAAAGAGTCTCACGGATGTTCCTGCCCCGGGCTGGTTTTGAACCGTGATCCTCAGATCTCAGACTCCTGAGTAGCTAGGATGAGAGCAGCCTGCCTTGTGTAATTTTTTTGGGGGGGTGGAGGGAGAAATTGTTCTGAAGATTCTTTAGATCAAGTCCCTGGGGAAGAGAGAGGGGGCCCGGCCAATCTGTCTTTGATCTCTTGCATTATGATTTTTGATTACCAAAGAGACCCCAAAGGGTCCCTCATCACTAAGAAGTTAAGAAAGAAGCATTGGCCAAAAAAAAAAAAAAAAAAAAAACATTGGCCAGGCACCGGTGGCTCACACCTGTTATCCTAACTACTCAGGAGGCTGAGATCTGAGGATTGCCGCTAGAAGCCATTCCAGGGCAGGAAAATCCGTGAGACTCTTATCTTCAATAAACCACTCAGAAAACCCGAAGTGGCACTGTGGCTCAAGTGGTAGAGTGCTCACCTTGAGCTGAACCGCTGAGGGACAGCACCCAGGCCCAGAGTTCAAGCCCCACGACCGATTTAAAATAATAATAATAATAATAACCATTAACTAAGCCAAAGGTGTTCTGTGCTTCCCCCAAAGCTTAGCATCTCCAGTTCTAGCCTAACATGGAGAAAAGAGAACACTTGTATTTTGAATTAACCTAGCATAGAATTTCAAAGGAGAAAGAAAGGGAGGGGGAGAGAAAAAAAGCAAAAAGAAAACATGCACAATACCTGCTTGGTTTACAAAAATCGTTCCCGAGAGGCATAGATTTCCAAATCAAGGACACAAGGAGGCCAGGGATGAATTAATTAACTTGGTGCGAGGTAGGATGTGGGTCTCTAGGGCTTCTCTATACCAGCACAGGTCAGCAAAGGCCCGGCCTCGCTGGCTAGCTTAGGAGCTCTGGCGGGGAGGTGAGCTGATTTACAAATGCCTTTCTTCTGCGTCTGTAGCATCTGCTCACCAGGATGCTCAGGTTCCGGCATTGACCCTGAGCCCATCATCAGAAACCAGGGAGCTAGGATCCTGCCCCCCAAACTCTTTTCTCCCCACCGAGATCCAAAGAAGGAGGAAACTGGCATGAGGGAAAACTGTTTGGCTTAGGAGGCAGAAGGCTAACTAACATCCAGGCTCACCCTATCCTGATAACTCCCAGCTTCCTGGGGTCCTGGTCCTCTACTCAATACTCCTGCCGGAGGCCATGTCCCCACTTCCTCTCACAACCTGCTTAGAAGAGTAGATCGGCCTACGGTTCAGTACTGCCGGGGCTTGTCTACTTTAAGAGATCAATACTCCGGGTTTCCACTTTCCAATGCATCCCAATCTGAGTGCATTTGTGATCAGAGAGCATTTTTAAGGCTTCACACTGACCACAGGGTTGATGATCATAGGTCAGGCATTCACTCTCGAGCTTGGTGGTACCAACAATATTGTCATCGTCATTGTCATCATCATCATCACCACCAGGCCATGGTGACAAGCTTCTCATGTGGACCAAAAGAATAACAATCCAACACCAGTCAGGCATCAGTGGCTCATGCCAGTTCATCTTAGCTGAGATCTTAAGTCTCCGGTCATCAGGAGGCTGAGATCTGAGGATCGAGCTTTAAAGCCAAACCCTGAGCAGAGGAATCTACAAGAACTGGAGGCATGGTAGAGGGCTGAACTTGAGCAAATAAATAAATTTTTAAAAAGCCAAGTGAAAGTAGGAGGAAGCTTTGACTTCAAGTCCCAGTACTGGTACACACACACACACACACATGCACACACACGCATGCACACACACACACACACATATACATTCAACACCAGGCATTTGGATTTAACAACCCAAAGCACTAAACAATTTCTGTTCCCTAAGCTATACTACCTTTGGGCTTCTGTTTCATCTGAATCATAAGAAAAAGACACCTTGCAGGGGGCCAGTGGCTCATACCTGTCATCATAGCAACTCAGGAGGCTGAGATCTGAGGATTGCAGTTCAAAGCCAGCTCAAGGCAGGAAAGTCCGTGAGACTCTTATCTCCAATGAACCACCAGAAAACTGGAAGTGGCGCTGTGGCTCGAGTGGTAGAGCGCTAGCCTGGAGCTGGAGAGCTGAGGGACAGCGCCCAGGCCCAGAGTTCAAACCCCATGACTGACAAAAAAAAATCTATATAATGTCAGGAGGGAGAAGGAAGAATGTAGTCAAAAAATTCAGTTCAATGCATAGCGTACAAAATGAAGAAAAGTGACGGAGGGAGAATGATCAAAGAGGTGATGTTGATCAAGACACAGGGTATTACTAAGTTGCTTTGTTGAATGGCAACTCCTTTGTACAACTACTTAAAGATTATATGAATATGTATATAATATATATGCTAATGAGGATGCAAACAGACCAAGTAACTTCCCACTGAGCAGAGAGAATTTTTTTATAACGCCCAAGGAAGTAAATAAAAGGCTATGACTTGGGACTCCAGGAGGAATATATTATATTATAAATTATATATTGTATTATAATATAATATATATTATTATATACTTTGTATATTATATTATATATAATTTATATTATATTATAAATACTATATGTTCATATATTATATAATATTGTATATAACATGTAAAATATATAATAATATATTATATTATAAATAAAGTATATGACATTTATTATAAATACAATATATTATATAATATAAGAATATATATCTATCATCTATCTATCTATCTATCTATCTATCATCTATCTAT